TAACATTTTGCACCAAAGCTTGACAAGAATGGGAGAAACGATTCGTAAAAATCCATTTGCCAACAAGCTTCTGAATAATGGTGTAGTGCTTCAACTAAGTTTACTGAAGCATTTATTTGAGCCCCAAAAATAACTGAATCGCTCAGACAGAAAAAAAAAGAGAAAAGCAATTGAGCAAGAAAAAAATAACTTCTTACCCATGAGCACCTCTGGGTAGAAAAGAGTTTCGCCATGGAACAGAGAGCAACTGCATCTGGAGAACTCTCCTGTAGCGCCCTCGCTGCGTTACGCACCATCAGACGAGAAGCGACTAACTCACTGGCCATCTCAGCTAATCTGAATTGCAAATACTGAAGGAAGATTTAAACAAGTGCTCACTGATTTTATATTTATGAAAGGCAAAAAAATATCCTCCGACATCTTGTGAGCAAACTGCTGAGCCTCGCTGTACTTGACCTGGAACCCACAACTTCAGAGCAACTAGGGAATTTCAACTGACTAAGCTTATTCAGGTAGCCTAGCTGATTTAAATGATAACTAAAAGACAAGTCACAGGTGCATGCGCCGAACTCAAAAGATGGAATCTTTTGATGACAAGTAATTTACAATTTCGAACAGTTCAAACTCATGCTCAGGTTGCATTTGAGTATATCTATACGGACTTGCAGTCTAGCGGTAAGACCATTACGGCAATGCTTTTATATGAACAGGATGTGAAGATGATTACTAGGAAGAGTTTGCAATAAAAATATGAGAAATAATGCTCCATTTCTACATGTGACATTTTAGTTTTACAACAGGCTCCACAAACACAATTCCTCACGAAGGAATTGAGCTTCAGTTTACAAACACTGGAATCATTGGGCAAAAAAAAAGTCTGCGGTTTCTGGTCACCGTGCGTGTCACCGTAGACCTACATGTCAGCAAAATAAAGAATTTTTTATTTTGCATAAAACGGATTCCAAAAGCCGGCAAACTTACTTGATCGGAATTCTGCTACCACGTAATTTGAACATGTTTTTGATGGGTGGGGTTGAGTAATATGTACGATAAAGGAATCCCCTTAGGCCTCTGTTTTTAAGAGACAAACAAGCCTTATATGTGACTCAGCACAGATATCAGAAAGAAAACTAGAACCATGGAAAATGTGGGATTCTGCCAACAGGAAACTCATGAGGCAGCTAACTCACCTGGAACTGATCTAGCGTTTTACCAAACTGTTTACGGACTTTGAGGTGATCCCTGGCGGCCTCTATGCTGGCCTGAGCGGCACCTAATGAACAGGAAGCAATGCTGAGACGGCCTCCATTCAAGCCTGAAAATAGCAACACAAAAAACCTGGGATCGAGCTTGAATTTGGGGGAGAAAGTTCTGGGCAGATTCTATGAGGGGCAGGTTTTTGGACCTTCTCACAGCCAGGGTGGGGGCAGTTGATTGTATAATGATCGATTCTTTTGAAACATGCCTTGCCTATAAAAACATCAATTATAATATTTCTGGTTATGGTTATTCATAATAAATACTCTCACAAGAGTCAGTCAGTGTAAAACAAAATCAGTGAAAAAAGTTGACACTTTTAACAGATTGTTTTTCAAATGTATTTGCATGAAAATTGTGTCTGCTTTTTGTAACACTTGTTTCAAATTATAACAAGACAAAAGAGAAAAGGAAGGTGAAAAGTGAAGGCTTGGTACCCTGAAAACAAGCAGAGAAACAATGTTTCGGAAAACTGGGAGATAGTGATGGGTACACTTCCCCCTTGCTCCTAGGTGCTTTGTGGGGTGAGAATCGTTGCCTAAATTGGGTCATGGACAACATCTACCATATCAACACATGTACACGTGGTGTGCCAAATTCACTGGTACCTTGCATAGCAATTTGGAAACCGTCTCCCTCTTTACTGAGTCGATTTGACACTGGTATCCTGCAGTCTTCCATGATCACCATCCGCGTAGGCTGTGAATTCCAACCCATCTGAAAAATGGAAAAGTAATGATTATTAAAATCTATACAAGAATGACAAAAGAACCCTTTCTGCATGTACACGGTCACTTGCTTTTTCTGATGCACCAAAGAGTTGTGTGGGGAAATATACATTTGCAATGGTTTTTTTAATCAGTGGTATATATCTAGAATTACAAAGAATTTCTGAGTGAGATGAAGACTGAATGTGAGGGTTGCAGAAATGGCTAGCCTTGGTGGATTACCAGCAGCTAAGCTGAATACGTTTAACATGATGGGACGTTTAACTGTTTGGAGGGTACTTAGCAGTATTGCTAAGTGTCTAAGTATTGCTAAGTATTTTCAGATCTGAAACTGCAACCAGGGCAGTCCTCTCTGAATCACGAAGATGTGGAGAAGGATTAGCCTCTCATCAGAGAAATGAGGTAATAATTGGACGGTCAACCCATAGCTTAAGACAAACGCATTCAGAAAAACTTTAGAACAACGAGGTTCCGTACCTTCTTTTCTTTCTTGCCGAAGCTAAGTCCCGGTGATCCTTTCTCTACCATGACACATGATATTCCCCTGGGGCCTGCCTCACCCGTTTTGACCATCATTACATATACGTCAGTGTCACCACCTCCGCTTATGAATGCCTGAATAGAATGAGCAGAGTAATTTTATTCTGATACTGCATATTGTATTTCTGCTAAATGATGGAAACTCTACCATTTGTAAATGCTAAAGGAAATCACTCTTGTGTTATGGCAAGAAGCCTGAGCAACTTTAGAAGGGAAGGTTCTGACCTTAGCAAAAAGTCACAGAATTTATGACTATCCTTTGACATCTCACCTTTGACCCATTCAAGACATAGTGGTCACCATCTTGTCGTGCCGTGGTTGACAAGGATGCAGCATCGCTACCACTGCCTGGTTCCGTCAGGCAATAAGAGGCTAGCTTCTCCATGGAGCACAGGCCTGGGAGGACGGCATGTCTCTGGTCTTCATTGCCGAATGTATCAATCATCCAACAACACATACTACCATGATTTAAAAATGGTCAAGACAAAAATAAATTTTAAGGCTAGGTCAATGCAAATAAATGAATATTTGGATATTTGACCTTCCAATTGATTTAAGATTCAAATCTTTGGTTGTTTCAAACTCCCAACAAGAAAGCAGCAACAATGTTTGTGCGGGGATCCACCTCAATCAGTGTCAAGATAGCGTCCTTCCCCTTGTTAAAAAAAACAGGCCGAGAATCAACCTGTCGCTCAGTCCTAATTAGGTATTGAGCCCCTTAACCCTAACACTCCTCAATCCTTCACCTGATGGAGGACTGAAGACTGTTAGGGTTAATGACAGCGATTCAAAAAGATGTTCACAGAGATATTTCTTTTAACACTCATGTAGAAATGCAAAAGAAGAAGAAATGCCAAAGTGATTAATTTCATGTACTGGTCTGTCTCGTACATCATAGGAAAATGTTGACACCATCTGAAATTTTGGACCCATGCAGAAGATGTTAGGACACTTTTTTGTAATCAAAATATAATTATGACTGCTCAAACAAAATAATTTACAAGTCACCAGTGCTGTGATTCTATTCACTCATGGGATTCGTAAATTTGGCTGTCAACCTGAGTGATATGTCAGAAGTAAAGAGACAGATACACTCTTGTAATGCATTTGACAAAAAGCACAAAATATACTAAAAGCTCATCTGTATGGGACTTCATCAAAATTGACATTTAGGTTGAGTTTGAGCAGCTTGTTCTCGGCAGATTGGCAGCGTCCATGTACATTCTTGGAGAGCTAATATTTGGGTATCTGGGCAGAATTCTTTTGTATAATAGAACATTCATTTCTGTGTTACGGAGAATTATTTATGATTATTTTGCAAAACTTCCCATTGTCTCCAGCTTGGAATAAAAACCATCTCACCATTTTGGGGGGCTGTTAAAAAATCAAAATCTCACAAGTTTTTCTGTGAGTTCCTTTAAAACTCTGACGAGGAGGTGGTGTGTGATCTGGTTCCGAGAGGCAAGAACAAGAAACCTGTGTTAAGAACTGGCCGCTCAAACTCGACCTTACAGTCTTTGGTACTGCACACTTACTTGTGAATGGTGATGTACGCTGTTGTACTAACACATCCTTGGGATAACGCCTCGTATATGACAGAAGAATCTAGGCGAGTCAATCCTGAACCACCGACATCCTCCTTGACAACAACACCCCCAAATCCAAGACTACCTGCCTTACGTAGGACATCCACAGGAAATATTTCCTAAGGGGTGAAGTAGACAGAACTCTATTCAGTAATCAGTTGTTCTCAGCCCAAAACTGCAACAGATGATGTATAACCCCAGATTTCAGACTCTCTAAACTGTTTAAAGGATTTATCTTGTCTGGCTTTCCCAAGCATGTACAGAATGAATAATTTATGATTACCGTGTCCAGAGGGAAACACTTTTATCTTCAAGCACCTGTCTGGCCAATTTTTAACCTTTTGGTAATGCGTAGCTGTGCCAAAATATACAGTTTCTACTTACAGTTTTTCTTCAAAATACGACAAAACAGACCAACTTGTTCCAGAGGAAAGATCAAATAAGTAAAGTCTTTAAAGAAATGGATGTGCCTAACATTCTTAAGTAATTCCCTTGAATCTTCCAGTTTCAGTAAAATGTAACTCTAACGGATTAAGGTTAATTGCACCAATTTGATTTGTGTACATCTTTTCTTTCATACACTAACATTGCCTACCACTTTGTAAGGGCTGAAAATATTATAGGAAGTTAATTCTCGGTTGACACTGGCCCTTTTCAACATCAAAGTGCAAATGTCCCACATACGTGTAAACTAAAAGGGGACTAGATGTGTATTTCCATGTAGTATTTGGTAATAGTGTTAATATTGAGTATTTGAAGTAATTATGTAAGAATAAAAAACTCTGAGCAATTCTGTTGCATTTGTTCTGATATCCAGCCTGAGGTTTGCAAGCCACTGATTTCGCTCGTCCCCACCACACTTACAGGGCAACAATTTTTACAATGCATGAAGTAGTTTTGGTGAAGTACTCAGGTGAGCACTTCTGCACTGAATATACATTCAAGATTAGGACAGCACACAGCCCACATGGCTGGCGAATTCCATTCCCAAATAACGTGAAAGGCATTAGCCCGGGGCAAGCGAAGCTACTGGTAAGCAAAACCTGTAACCGCATGGACCCATTAATACATGTATCTTCTCACGAACACCGGTACCTCCTCATCCCACTGCCTCATGTGTGGTGCCATTTCCTGCTTGGCAAAGTCCAAAGCCACCGTCTGGAAACTTTTCTGTTCCTCAGTCAGACCTGCAGCAGCTGTTGACATTTTGTACAAATACACGCACTATTTTCTTTCAACTCACCAAATTCACACTCGATCCCAAGCATCGTACATGTATGCATTTTGGTTCATCATTCATCAACGTTGATCATGTTAATTGGTAACGTTATGCTCTGGGGATCTATGTAATGACGCTGTCTGGTTCCCAGACCAAACAGATCCCAATTGTGTTTGGTATCGGTGAGTGATTGGGAGTTAATCACTGTGGTAAAAGAATGACCCAAATCAAAACCAAAATTTCTAAGACTTCTACAAATTGGAAATTGCCCAAATACATCAAGAGTAATGATGGGGTGAGTGATCCATACCCGCAAAAGGGGTTTCATAGAAGGGATTTTTGCTGAGTCCCCACCTTTTGAATGGATTGCTGTGGGGCCTAGGATACGGAGGGAGTCCAGTAGACTGGCCCCCAGTCTAGGGCTAGGGAATAATTATTACGGTTCTGGAAGCATGGGAAGTAAAGTAGGGCCAACAACATTGTCCGTGGAGTAAAAGCATCACCACTTAAAATTTGGACACATGGTCAGCATCTAATATCGCGATCGCTGACCATGCCCAAATTTTAAGAAGGGGCAACTTAAGTTGTAGGGTCCTATTCTGGCTAGGCTCTACGTGTACTTAAACTCTATAACTTATAAGCATTCACAGCATTTGTCCGTAAACTGGGCAACAGACCTATTTAGATTTCGGGTAGGGGCCTAGGCTAGCCAAAATGTTTGAAAGAATTTTCATTTTCACTTACGATCAATACTTAAACATCTTTCTCCTAGCACGCATGTCGACAACTTTGGAAAGAAAAGTCGGCTATCGGTCCATGACTTTTGGGGCAGAGATCGAAAACACCAGCGTAAACCACTGCTAAAAGCCATGGGTTTGGTGTTACTGTTAGTGGGGCATTAAACCACACGGTTGCGCGAAAATGTGTTTACGGATGATACATGTACAAAATGTACATGTACAACTGTACAAGTACATGTAGAGTGCTGTACATACTGGCACTACTACTAGACGGGTTGAGCTTGCTGAGGGCGCTACGCAAATGGTACAGCCCAGTACATAAGCTGCCATAGACTTCCAAAAACCAGGAAAAATACAAGTTTCACAGTTGTTTAAGACAAATATGAAAATAAAGTTCACTTCCTCATCTTTCATTTTCCTTTCAATTTTCAGTGGCTTAATCGATGACTTTTGAAGATGTTTCTCTCCAGAGGAAATCACCCCTCAAGACAGTAATGAGGCCCATTGGGGTGCACCACTACAAATAAATTCCCATAGACAGCAGTGATAAATCCCC